CGCAGTGCGGGCTGCTCTGCGCGGACTCTACACCTAAACCCTAAACCCTACACCCTACACCCTACACCCTACACCCTACACCCTAAACCCTAAACCCTAGCTGTGGGGCTTACTGAGGCCCGGGGAGACGGTCTTGACGGTGCTGTAGAGGTCCTGGATGGAGGCTTTCTTCTGACTCAGTTCCATTTCCCGCAGTCTCCTTTCTTCTCGCCGCTGCGCCAGTTCTCTTGCTGCTGCTGCTGTCTCCTTCGGGTCTTTTTGCCGCAGCGCGGGGCCCCAGTCCCCTGTACGTACACCCCACACCCCACACTCGCTCCTGCTCCTGCTGATGCTGCTGCTGCTGCTGCTGCTGCAGTGTTTGGGAGCGTGTTTCTAGTGCCCCGTGTGCGTCTGCGGCTTGACGCTCTCGGCGACTAGGGTTTAGCGTTTAGCGTTTAGGGTTTAGGGTTTACGGGTGCCTGGGAAGCTGTCGTTTTCCCAGGAGTTGGTCTGGGTGGTTTGTGTCTCAGTTTCGCGGTTTTTGCTGCCAAGTTTGAAGTTGAAGTTGCTGCCTGTGTCTCCGGAGTCTCCGAAGTCTTGTGTCTCTTCTTCTTCTGCTGCTGCTGCCAGAAAATCATCCAAGCTGCTGAGGGGGTCTTCTTCTGCATCTGCTGCAGCATCTGCTGCACCATCTGCTGCAGCAGCTGCTGCAGCAGCTTTTATCCCTTTTGCTACAGCCTTCTTCGTGCCCTTCTTCTTCTTTTCTGCTGCTGCTGCAGCAGCTTCCTCTTCTGCTGCTGCTGCTCCGTGCTGCTTATGCTCCTTCTTCGCAACTGCCGTAAACCCAAAACCCTCCACAGGCACTGTCCCCACAAAAGGATCGTCTCCCCTGGAATCGTCTCCCCTGGGATCGGCTCCCTTGGGATCGTCTCCCCTGGGATCGTCTTGCGGTCCTGAGAGACTGCGTCCCGAGGTCTTTCTTCTTCGCTGCTGCGGCCCCTGCGAAGCCACCTTCTTCCGCTGCTGCTGCTGCTGCTGCTGCTGCTGCTGCTGCTGCTGCCCC